GATTAAGCCTACCCTCCCGGGTGGCGGTTCAGTATGCCTGCCTGCGTTGGCCATCAATCACATAGTGCTGCGACCAGCCCCGAAGGTACCAGTGGACCTGTTCCACGGTAGGCACCGGCCAGAAGCGGCTTGGATCCTCAGCATCAGGCACGCAAGTAATGACACGGTCGAGCGGAACACGGGTATTGTCCCTGGCGCTCAACACGGCCCAAATGTAGGCCTCTGCGCAAGTGTAGTGGTCCGGACGAGGCTGACCAGGTTCATACAAGCGTCCCGACATGTCATAGGGGAACGTGTAGCGAAACTCCGGATCATGGTTTGCCATGTGATCGTCAAGGACCTCAAGCAACTTGTCGTGAACTTGAAGGCTACGGCAGATTGAGACGCCCTCCGCGGACCTTGGCACATTCTGAAGGCCCATGAACTGCTGTCCGTGATAGTCAGCACCTCCAGGTGGGGTTGCTGGAGCTGGGATCCCTCCCGCCGGTCCTGCTGCATCTGTGGCATCATCACGTGTGCGGCTACGTGTGCGCTCACGTCCGAAGTTGCCATACACACCAGCTCTGAGAGCATCCCATTCTTCGGCTGAGATGTAGTCGGTGGGATTGTGTACAGGAGGTGGTGGAGGAGGTCGCGCAAGCAGGACGCCTGGCTGACGGGTCGATCAGGATCGGTCTCGCAGATGATGATGATGTGCCACGGCCCCTTCCGACATGTGGGCTAGCAGATCTGCCACGTCCAGCTTTGGCTTTTGATTCAAATGCTGCGGCTCCTGGGGAGCGGCCTCGCCTCCTGGCGGGCGGTGCAGATGCACGCGCCTGATGCTCAGCTTGGTGGAGGCGTCGCTCGACGTTTGTCGGATCCCTCCGATAGGTCCAGAACCTTGAGTCTCGATCAACGCGAGGAGCTGTCTTTCTCCAAGACCGGCAAGACCTTCAGGGATGTTGATTGGTCCTGTCATCTCGATCGTGGGGAGCTCAATCCTTGCATCACGCTGCTTGCGAGGAACGGATAAAGGCAGCTGCTGCGTGAAGAAGTCAGCAAACTTTGCAGTAAACAAACTGACCTCCCGGTCAGCGAACTCGTACCTCTTGCCATCATAGCCGAGGATTGTGAACGGGTACCGAGGTCGCGTCTTGTTGACCGCATGGAGGATGACAGACATTTCGTCGATCGTGAAGAACTTGTCCTGGAAGCTGATGAGGCAGTCTTTATCCAGGTAGATCTCCCGATCCCCGTCTTTCCATGCCATGGCGATGCGTCCGTCAGGATGGTGGTCGTCTCGATCATCCTTTGTCATTCCAACATCTGGAAGACGAACAGCCGCCAGGCGTCTCGACTAGCTTCCTAATATAGTCTTCATCTTCTGGGACAGGTTCAGCTATTGGAGGTTCGGGCGCACTGATTTTCTTCTCGGTTTTGCTTTTGGGTTCCGCCTTCAACTTAACCTTAGCCTTCACCCTGGGTTCAACTGCTTTCGGCTTGGTCTTGTCAGACTCAGCAAACTCAAAGAG